ATACAAGACACAGTGTACCAAAATCAAAAACAGCAACAACAGGTGATATACCAAAGGGGGAAAATAAAACAAAAGAACAAATAATTTCACACAGTACATTAAAAAAAAAAACCTAACAACAACAACAAAGAAAACCCTCTTGGTTCTCTATCTGAAGTTGGTTTTGATTAGTATCAACTTATATGGTCTCATGTACATAGCTATTGAGCTATTGTGATTCTCTGTTAGCATTAACCTAGACATATACTCATTATTACAAATGAGTGATACTATGGATCTGTTTCTTTGGGGCTGGCTTACTTCACTTAATATAATTTTTTTCCAAGTCTTTCCATTTCCTTACAAAAGGGCGATGTCATTCTTTCTGATGGAAGCATAGAATATGGTATATGGTGTATATATGGTATATATTTTTTCTTGATCCATTCATCTGCTGAAAGACATCTGGATTGGTTTCATATTAATTACCAAACTATTACTCTACTCCTGCAATATATAAGGGCTGAAATCTTAAATATTTCAAATAGGGCTATAGTATGATACTTTGACTTAGACTATGGAAGTACAAATTTATTCTATCCTTTTAAAGATACATAATATGTAAACTTATTTAGAATAAAATTTATAATACATTTGGTCTCATTTAATTTTTTAATTAAAAGTTGGAAGAGCAGATATTAGTTTTTTGCTTTTATTTCCTTTATTGTACTCTCATTTTATTTGCAGATTGAGATGTTCAGAATTTTCCTGCAAATGCATAAGCAGTTTATCAAAAAGCTGAAACTCAAAAAAATTTTCTGTCTCTACAGCTTCAACCTCTTCTACTACATTGTATTTCCTTTCACTCTGACTCACATAGATTCTCAAACACAGACTGATTGTAAGCTGGCCACCGTTACTGGAATGATATTATCTAAATATGATTACTTCTTAATGTTCCCTGAAAGGATTAAACTAGTTAAGACATACAAAAGGGAAAAGCAATTATCTATTGAAATATGAATCTCTTGATTAGAACTGGAAATCATATCTTGATACTGAAATATTCATCTGGCATAAAAATATCTGAATATGGTAATTATTTGTTTGAATGTGATAGTTTTAAGGTGTGTGTGTGTGTGTGTGTATGTGTGTGTGATGTGTTGAGTGCCAAAGTTAAGAAATCTTTTCCTGCAGAAGTTGTTTGCCTAATTGACCCATTCTTTTAAGTACCCCAAACCTACACAAAAAATGTGTGTATTATTTTTCCCCATTTTCCTTACAGAATAACAAAACCCATTCTATTAATCCACATAAAAATGCTATGAAAGTGTGTGATTTAAATTATCTTCAGATTTTAAATTATGAGATTACTGGTGGCTTCTCTGTGACTGGTTACCCTTCCATGATATCTCCCTGAATATCCTCCAAAAGTTAATATGCTATAGGCTTCTGCCTGCCTGGGATTTACAATTGTCACTCAATGTCACTAACATATGGCAGTTACTCTCCAGTGGGGTATACTCTCACCTTGACCCAATTATTTTCTTGGATTGAAATAGTTGTGAAATCATTCTTTTGTCATTATTTTGGTATCCAGTGAGAAGTATAGTATTTGATATTTATTAGGTCCTGAAAACATTGTATGAGTGAAGGACAGATTGGAATTAGTTAACTATCATAGTTTTTATTAGTTTAAAATAATGACTTGGCTAAGTGACAGTGGCTCATGCCTGTAATCCTAGCTTCTCAGGAAGATGAGATCTGATGATTGAAATTCAAAGCCAGCCTGGGCAGGAAAGTCCATGAGACTCTTAACTCCAGTTAACCAAAGAACCAGAAATGGAGCTATGGCTCAAGTGGTAGAGCATTAGCCTTGGGCCAAAAAAGCTAATGGACAGCACCCAGGCCCTAAGTTCAAGTCCCAGGAATTACAGGAACACACATACACACAAAAGCTTGGAAACTGAGTTAAATATCTTGCCTAAATATGTAGCAACAGAGTATGGGACTAGACATTGAAATGATAAAGTCCCAGTAGCTCCATTTCTTTGTACTTAATCTAAACAAAAACAATCACTTCGAAGACCAATTTAGAAACCCAAACTTTTCCCTAAAGCAGAATTGATTGTTCTCTATGCTATCTCCAGATTGTGAGCAACTTAAGTTCTCATGGTGTTTACTTTATATTTCTGTGCCACGTTTGTTGCCTGGAATAGTAAATTTTGAAGATTTGTATTTTCTTTTTTTGAATTGAAATGTAATTAACTGGAACTTTTGTTACTTAATAATTCTGAGACTGAAGTTCTTATAGCTATGCCATTAACCCCCTGTGACCTTTCATTTATTAAAATTAGTTTCCTAATTTATTAAATTTAGATAATTTATCAATTTTGATTCAATTTATTTAGTTTTAGATGTAATTGTTTTCCAAGAGAAATGCAGTCCCATGGAAATTAAGTTGTATGCAAATATCAGTGGTTTATTATTTAATAATTTAATGTAGCTTTTGTTCTTTTAAACTTCTTTCTAGCTCATTTGACCAGAGGAAGAAGTAAGATATCTGTTTGAATTTTGTTATGGTTTACCAAGGAAAACTCAGAAATCATATTTAAATTTTTCCATCATTCAGAAATGGTTGCGTGCTATTTTTCTGTCATATTGTCATTGACAATGTACTCATTGGTTTCATTATGCTTTTATGCATTCCTTAACATGATGAAATATAACACTATAAAAATCTATCATGGTTCCATCTGGTTCCATCCTGCTTGATTTTGATGTGATTCCAACTAGTCTGATCCAGCTCTAGCCAGCTTCAAACTCGTTCTATTGGATTTGATCTGGTTCTGACCATTTTTTATTCAAGTTTGTTCAATCCAGTCTCATCCAGTTCAAATTTGCCTTCTCCCTTACACTCTTGCTTCATCCGGTTCAAATCTGCTTTATCCCTTACAAACTTGTTTCAACCAGTTTGAGCCAATTTCGTCCAATATAATCTGGGTTTAACCAGATAAATATGGTTTCATTTAGTTTGAAAAGGATTGAATTGGGTCATTTGGTTCAAACCCATTTCTACTAGTTGAAATTGGATTGAAATGATTCCATCTGTTTTCATGCACTTCAGTCTGTTCTTTCTGGCCAAAATTACCTGATCTGCTTTAGTTTTCTTTTTCTGTTTCTACATGGCTCAAACCAGACTGGTTGAAACTGGTTTCCTTCCATTCACACCAGTTTAAACCAGTGTATTTCAAGCCATTATTTCAAAACATGCTTGAACCAAATGAAACTGAGTAAAACTGATTTGAACCAGATGAAACTAGATTGAACCAGTTCTACTATACAGTTTGGCCTTGATAAAACTAGCTCTGTGAGTTTGAAGCCAGCTCAAACTGGATCAAACTTGTTGGAAGCAGATTGAACTGACTCTAAACCTGCTGGAATCAATTCACATTGGTCTGAGCTGGCTGAAACCAATTTATGTCTGAATGAACTTTGAATCACGAGAAACTAACTTGAATAGCTTGAAACCAGATTGAACTACATTTAGTCAGGTTGAACTAGTTTGAGCCTGTTGATGGGATTAAACAGTTAAAACTAGTTTGAAACAGGTTCAAACTAGTTCAGACTGATTAAATGTAGTTCAAATTGGTTTCAAGCTATTCAAGCTAGTTTCTGGTGACTCAAACAGTCAAATCGAACCAGTCAGAAAAACCAGAGAAAAGTGGATGAAGACATACTGAAAACACCTAAATTAGCTCAAGTTGTAACTGATTTGAACTCAATTAATCCAGGATGCAACTGATCTAAGGGTTAAAACTGGATGGACTAGCAGAAGCTGGTTTGAATTGATCAAAAATAGATTTAAGTGACCCTAACCAGATTGAACTGGCTCAAAACCAAACTTAATTGGTTGAAAACAGATGAAACAGTTTCAGTCTGGTGGTTGAAACCTGTTTGAGCTGACTGAAACTGGACTGGATCTTTTTTAAACCAAATTCGTTTAAACCGGTTCCAACAAAGAAATTTAATATAAGTGATGCTATTATATTTTCTAGTCCCATTGCCTTAACCACTCAGCAACAACTACTATTATATTTTCTAAACTGGAAACATTTATAAACTTAGGTGGCTTAAGATATATTTAATCATTTTAATAGTTTATGGGTGACATACTTTATTGACCTTTTTAATCTTTAGATAAATATGTTTTTTTTCAGACATCTTAAAAATTATTATTGTGAAAATACTGTAAAGAGGGGTTACAATTACATGGGCAAGATAATGAGTACATTTCTTATCAAGCATTGTAGCCTCCTCCTTTGATTCACCTTCCCATCCCTTCCCATCCTCCCCCTTCCCCCCCCAATCCTCTCTGCTCCCCCCCTCCCCCAGCACCAAAGTTGTAAAGTTGGTTTTCGACATAATGACTTGTACAACTCATTGTTGCATTGGGTCCACATGTATCCCTATTTAAATGATTTGTTTTTCCCGATAAATATATTTATATATGTTCATATAAGCATATATATGTTAAAGTAGTAATTATAAAATTTGACTGTTTTTTTAAAAAGTTTTGTTTTTGTATTATACCTGAGTTCTGTCTTACAATCTTAGTAAATCCTAACTTACTTAGAACAAGATAATTAATACATATCACTCATTGTCATTTCAAATTTTAATTTCCTCCTTTGAATTTAAATTGGCTTTGAGATACTTAAGATCATTTAAAGAGCTACTTTTTTACAGCAAAGTCATAGAAATTTTATATTTGTGTAATACTCATTTTTTCACCTATTTTGAAAAATTGGTAAAAATACTGACATGACAGCTGATCATTCTGAGTTTGATGCTGCTGAATTCAATTGTCAATTTTAATGAATCCTAGCCAATTAATGTAGTTTGCATATTTTTCATGAGTGCATGATCAATATAATCAATTATAGTTTTACATAATGGCATAGATGTAAATTTTTTTTGAGGATGTCGGAGGATTAATGCAGTTATTTAATGTGTTGCAGAATTGCGAGAAGCTAGAGAATAATTTTGATGACATCAAGCACACAACTCTTGGTGAGCGAGGAGCTCTCCGCGAAGCAATGAGGTAAGTCTGGGTCACCATAGCAACAGTCACAGATGTGGTAAAGAAAAAGTCATTCTTCATTATTGGGGGAACAAATGAGTTCATTGCCACCATTCAGCGCTGTTCTCTAAGGTATTAATTTGTCAGTGGAGAGACTTCCCTGGAGGCTGTACTTTGGTTTTGAAGCTGCATAAATGTTAAGCCTCAGTGCACCGTAAAAAAATGTAAATGTTTAATTTGTTACTTAAAATGCTTAAGGGGTGTCTTGTTTTATATTTATACTAAAAACTGTTTGATTGAATGAAAATATTATTCATCTAAATTCTGCCGATACACACAATAAAAACAATGTATGCTGGTGGCCTTCCTGAGTAGTATTTTCTCCTAATTAATATTTAATTAAAAAAGAAGTACTTAAATGTCATCTTCTATTAGATTTTATAGGATTAATATTAGAATATATCTTAAATGATTCACATTTTTAACAATATCACAAAGCATATAATTAACTTCTTTTCACATACAGTGGTCTATAATGAGCCTGGTATTTCTTTTTGCCTTTTTTCATTTGATATTGCTACTTTTAAATATATTTCTGAAGTCTCTCCAGACAGGACACCTTTTAAAAAACTTTTAGTGAAGCATTTTTGAATTCCATTTAATCACAAATAAGAAGCACCTTTTTTAACTAGAGATTAAAAATATGGATAATAAACCCCAGCATCCTTTGATTAAGAAATAACAAGTAATACTAGTCTTAAAAGTTTTACACTTAAAATCTATTGGGTGGGATAATTTATAAGAATCATGTAAGGAAGGAGTAGATTTATCTTTATTTCACTTATGAAACTAAAATTGATTCAGCAATTATATCTTTCAGACCCTGATGCTCATTTTTTTCTAATGGTTTTAGGCTTAGAAAATTTAAAATAAGAGAAAGGACAAACTAAGAGACTCCTTCCTGGCGTAGACGCTATTTTGTTATTGCTTGCACAGTTACCATATACTTTAGTTTAGAAGCTGCTTTCATTTAGTAACCTCCCTTTTACCATGCAAGCAGCAGGAGAAAGTAATTAAATTTAATAGAAGCTGCCCTCATTTTGAAGCCACTTCTATTTAAAACCGCAGGGGGAGGTAATTAAATTTAATGGAAACAGTAGCTTCTACACAAAGATACATGGTACTTCTGTATAGATGATTATGATGTCACAAAAAGAGGAATAATATATTACTAGCACTGAGAAATTACCAGCTGGAGCGAGGAAGCCTATTTTATTGTTAATGTCTTTACTAACAAAACATAAAGAGGGACAAACAAAGCTGAGTACACAATACAGAATTTATATCTATGTAAAATGTCATTTTCAGGAAGTGTACGTTATTGAAAATAGTCATAAATTTAAAAAATAAGGTGTACAATATATTGTGGGAAAAGCCTAATGCAGAAATTATGAATCGTTCTGTTATCCTCTATAGCCTTTATTCTCTAAAACTACAGTGCAGTTACAAATTGAACGCATCACTGTTTTGTAATGCTCATAATGATAATTTTGAGTACATTAAATGTAACTACCAAAATGTGTTTAGAAAATCACAATTATCTTCTGTATGTATTCATTTTGAAATAAATGCATACACAAGCAGGAAGACAAAGCGGCTGTCAGCGCTCATGTTTAGAGTGAAAGAACTAAAGGCCAAAAGTGTACAGCGAGAAGGGACAGGGGACAATGGGAATGCAGGTGGCCTTGGGTGAGAGAAACGGAATGAAGGGAAGGACATAGAGTCAGGGCAGGAAATTTATCATCAAGAAACAATGAACTGAATTACAGAACTGTATGTGAAGAGATGATTAAACTACCGAGTTCTGTACCACATGCCATTTTAGAGTATTCTGGGAACTCACGATTTCACCGAAAAATCAAAAATAAACTGATGAGAAAAACAAGTATTAATTACCCAGGTGGAGTAAACATTTCACTTGCCCATGCTGTGAGATAAGGCTGTATAATTGCATGGCTGTGAAATACACTTGATTACATAGGTTCGCTTCCTGTGCACTCATGCACACATACTTATACATGCACACAATTTATTAGAAATGTCTGGGTTCACTCAACTAATAACATTCAACAATTTAGTAGACTAAAATTGGGCTCCTTTAGCAGGGAGTGGGCAGTAAGAGCATGGCCTTTCGTTATGTGTCAGATTCTGTAAATAAGGAAACAAACCAACTCTTGTTACTACGGTGAGAAGAACTGCACAAAGGGAAATATTTTTCCCTATATGAACGATGTCTAGGCCATAAATGAAATCCATGGGGGGGGGGTTGGTGAAAAACTTTGACATAGGGGATGGACAGTATTGCGGGAAGTAGAAGGATTTGCATAGATTAGAGTCGAGGAAGTCAACACATGCCAGATGCCCTCAGAGACTCCAAGTGGTCTGCTGAGATGGACAGCAAATGTATTTTGTGCCAGGCTTGGGGCTTGAATTTAAGTGCCCTGGGCACTGCCCCTGAGCTTTTTAGCTCAAAGCTAGTTCTCTACCATTTGAGCCAGAACTGCACTTCCAGTCTTCTGATTGATGGTTAATTGGAGATGAGTCTCATGGACCTTCCTGACTGGGCTGGCCTTGAACTGTGATCCTCAAATCTCAGTCTCCTGAGTAGTTAGGACTATAGATGTGAGCATCACTACTCAGTGATAGCATGTTTTTTCAAGATTGCTTGACAGCATATTTGATCTCAGAACAGGTAGAATAAGGACCTGCCTTCTGTGCTGCTTCTGTTGAGTGGAACTGGAGAAGCTTCCAGGGACTAATGGGGGAGAATTAGGATCTCAGAGCTGAGGAATGGGCCAAAGGAGGTGTCTGAGTAATTTGCCAAAGTTTCAGGTCAAGGGCTGTCTTCAGAAGGATGGTTGAAAAAATAACAGTCAACATATTCTAGAGGCCAGTTGCATAGAGAGTCTACCTTTCGGTGAGAGAGTATTTATTTCAAAGTACTTTATATACTTCCATGAAAACAGACCAATGACACCTATTGACATTGTTTTCAGAGGAGAGGAAATAGATGAGGGGGAATGAGAGAGGGGCTTGAATTTGAACTGGGTATATGGTTTGCATGGGTGAAAAAAATCACAATGAATACCCTTTGTACAACTTTCGTAGGCTAATACAAGTGTAAGGCAAACATTTTATTTCAAGGAGTCCTGGTTTTCAAGGATAAGCATGACAGCCTTAAGTATAAAACTAGGAAAGTAATTTTATAGCTCTCTAGATTTGGAGTAGGAGAGAAAATACAATGTAGGGACCCAGGCTATTTTTTTCATTTAATGAATATTTATTGTGTTTCTGTAATATCTCAGATGGTGAGATTATAGATATGAATTATATTGCCCCTGTCCTCAGGGAGCAAGTAATCTAGTGGAGGGGACAGGAAAATCAAAATAATCTGGTGAAGGAAATAGGAAAATCAATTTCTCCATGTAAAGAGCCAGGGGTCAATCTTGAGTCTTTTCTCTGGTCTTTATCACATCCTGGTATCTGATGTCCTGACCTGCTGGAGGGTATAGAGCATCAGTTTGAACATCTTCTCTTTTGGGCTTGATTTCTTCATTAGTGGGAAGACCGAAAGACATGGAGCAGAACTAGTGCACCTGTGACAGTGAATATGCTGTGGCTTTGGTGTGGGGGCCTTTCTCCCATTAGATCACTGAGAGTCTATCTATGAGCCTAGACAGATAACAGAGGATTTTTTTTCACTTCTTCATCAACACCATACCCACTCTCTCCTGTGCATTCTTTGCTGAGAAAACCAACTGAACCGTAGCCATTAATAGCACATACATTTTAAGTATTTTAACCAACAACTGTGTTTTGGGGGTTTAGTATTCACTGTTGCTGGGGGCTGTCCTACTGAGTGGCAGGAACTGGACAATACTGCTATCATACTGAAAGGTCTGCTCAGTCCTCTGATAGTCTTCACCAGCCATGTGGGATGGAGCTCTTCTCTCCCTAAGTCCTTTGATTTTCAGATGTACTGTATTACAGTCCAGTCTTACTTTGTTGGATAAGGTTATAGAAAATTAAAATCCCCATGGCTGGGAAGGTGGCTTAGTGGTAGTGCTTGCCTTGCATGCATGAGGCCCTGGGTTCGATTCCTCAGTACCACATAAGCAAAAAGAAAAAAGCCGGAAGTGGCGCTGTGGCTCAAGTGGTAGAGCACTAATCTTGAGCTGAAGAGCTGAGGGACAGCGCCCAGTCCCAGAGTTCAGGCCCCAGGACCCGACCCCCCCCAAAAAAAAAGAAAAAAAAAGAAAATTAAAATCCCCAAACATGCTATTTTCTGCCACCCATTCTCCTAAGCTGTGTTTACTTCTGCATCTGATTAGCCTTTCTTTATTCTGATGGAGGAACTATTCTTGGAAGTCACATGTCTTCCCAGGGCTAAAAATTAAAAAAAAATAGCAAGTCCCAAATATACAAATTAATCTTCACCCCCTTTTTTTTTTTTTGAATTGTAGAATTCTATTTTCCCCACTGATCATTTCCCACACTGATTGGCCTTAGCTATGTCAAATTCAACAGAAAATCCAAAATCTTGAATACTACTCTTCTTTTTTCTCTCTACCTCAATTAATGTACTCATTCCACAAAGAAACAAATTCCAGAGAAGGATGTGATGCCCTGAACTTCTCCTGTAGGAGGGATTTGGGCTCAGGGATTCACATCTGAGATCAAAGGAGACATAAAGAGGTAGCTAAGAATGAATCAGGACCAGCCAGGAAGAGAGACTGGGTGAGATGACAAAGAATTGTACCAGGAATCAGCCATGCTTTTCTGTCTTTCCAAACATTCTGTCACACGCATAGAGTAATAAGAACAATGTAAGTGAACAATGTAAGTGAACAAACCATGAAATGAGTACTAGATTAATCAATGTGAATGAAATTTGGGATGCAACGGAAATTTTAGGTAAATTATTGTTTTTTAACTATACTTTGATATAAAGTATGATTAAA